TGCCTCCTCCGGAGGGCGTTTGTTTGTGTGGGGTTTTTTTTAAATTATTATCATTCTCCTCTGTTATTGATTATTTTAACTCGATTTTTAAGTTTCTTTAGCAGTTGGCGTCGAGATGCGCGTCTGTATTTGTGACGCGGAGCCTGCCTGAATAGGTTGTGTTTTGGCACATCCCGGAGCTAGACGAGACTTACTTAATTTGCGAAGTCTCGCTTCTACGGGCTCCGCGTAATTTTCTTCTCCTGCTAAAAAGTCCTTTGGAAACGCTGCAAAAAAAAACCAAACCCAACCAACAAACAACACGGTAATGAATATGCAGAGCAGCCGAGCTCTGGGATCCGAATCCGGTTTGTCCTCAGAGACTTCAAAACGCCCAAAAGTGATCAAGGAATATTGTGAAATAATCGCTTTTTGCCGAAAATACGGGAACGTGATGTTTCACACTCTCTCCTCTTGCATACTCCTGATTTAATTGGTGATAGCTCTGGTATAATTCACCTGAAATAAAAACCTCTAACAGCCAGTGAGGTTTGCTTGGTTGCTTTTCACTTCTAACGCAGCCTTAAAAAGCAGGAAAACTGCTGGTGAAGTGCTTCCATCCCACAACTCCCGAGTTTTCCTTCTCCCGATACTTCACCCACATCCACCACCTGCTTGCCTGCTCTTCCCCGCCACCTCCGGGAAATGTGCAGTTTTGAACTCGGACCAGGCAAAAAACGGGAAGAAATGGGTGTTTTCTTGAGGTGAGAGGTGCCAAACTGAGTTTTCTTCATAGAGGGAGCTGGTTGCAGGAGTAGGTTGTGATTCCTGCGCTGGTTGTTTACAGATATTTAGTAGCGTGTCTGGTGTCTCTGTGGCTGCTTTTTTTTTCGTTTGGGGTTTTTTTTTCTTCCTTATTTCCTAGGAGTTATGTTTGTGGTCAGAGCTAGGGTGACATCCAGCATTTGGAGGGGAGGGCAGGGTGCGTGGGCTTGGCGGGGCTGTGGGTGGGAGTGAGGTAACGTGGAAAACTGGAACGCGTGGCCGTGGGTCGCAGAGGCCAAGCGACAACCCGACTTTTGCGATTTCCTGGTTCCCCTGTGGCTGTGACAGCGCGCGACCTCGCGTGCGTTTTTAGGCGGCTCTGTCTGCCGAGGGGAATTTCCTAGCTGCTTTTCTTTGCTCTGCGTGTGAAAAATGTAAAAGCAGCTCTTCCCTGCGTGTTCCCACGCTCCTTACCGGTATGGACGACGAGCAGAGAAGGGGGAGAAGCAGCAGCTCCGTTTATTCCCACAGCCCTCACCATGCCGGCTCGGCAGCGCTGTCCCCCCTTCCGCCGCCAAGGGTTAGCGGTTGGCCATACCTCAGGAGATCTACTCGCTCGCTCCTAAAGGCAGCAAGTTGTTTGGGTTGGCTTCTTAGGGTGCACTGGAGATCTTCATCTGGCTGTTACCCCCAAACCAGGCTTGTTTGGGGTCACGAGTTAGGAACGGGAAGAAAGGGGAGGACACGCAGGTGCTACAAGGTCTCATCTGAGGGTCTTTCCCTGCACGCACAAGTCTCCTGGTTGTGAGCTCGTCCCGTGTCTTCTCGTTGTGTAACCCAAAAGCAGGGCCCCTGCTGCGCTATGAAATGAGTGGAAAGCGGCGCTTTGGGTCTCTTAGACGGAGCTTAAAGGTCACCCGAAAGCTGTGGGGTGCTGAGTGGGCGTGCGAAGGCGTCGCCAGGCAGCGGCGATGCTGTGTGTTCTTGGGGTTAACGGTCCCTTCTGACTCAGGCACTGCTTTCTCAGCAAACCTCATGTGTTGCGTCCTCCCCCAAAGCCTCGTCGTAGCCCCCCAGGTTGAGCAGCTTTACCTCCTTTCCCGCGCATCGTGGACTGCGAACCGGTGGAGCGGACGTGTTGCTGTCTGGAAAATCAGCGTAGCGAGGCCGTCTCGGAAAGGGGAGGGAGCCTTCTCCTTGTAAAAATTGAGAAATAGTTGGGATGTTGCTGAGGTGGGTGCTGAAGGAGAAAAGACATCGGAAAGAGGAGTGTTTGAAAATGCCTTCTCCGCAGAAAAATTGGCGTGGCCCTCTCGGGGGTTACTGCGCTGGATTCAGATAACAGAATCGGTCTTTTAAAGTGCGAAACAAAGGGATTTCAGTCTCACTTGAAATGCAAATCTCAACGCAGTCTGAACCATGGACTTACCACGGGCGCCTCCATAGTACACATTAATCCAGTTTTATCTGTCATGAGGAGATTTGTTGATTAGAAGCCTCTAGGTAAAGGCTGCTCGTGGACTCTTGCTGCTCTTCCAGCCCGTGGGCTGGAAAAATGAGCTAGGTGCCTCGCCTGGAGCTCTTGGGCTGTCTGTAATTTCACTGCCACCGTCCTCCCGGGATTCAGTTTCGCTCTCTGCACTGAGTCCGTTTATGTAGATTTATGTAGCTTGTGTGCTAAGGTGAACGACTTCGCGAGCGAATGGGTAATTCTGTTAAAAGTTCTCTGAGTTAATTTGTGGTATTGATGGTGGAAGGCCAGCGGCGTTTGAAACGGGAAGGTCAGAGCGGTTTGCCCAAGTGCCACTAAACCGTGAGCTCGTAGTTTTGTTTGTCACGTCGAAGTTTGTCTGGGATGGGAGAATTTTTCTAAGAAACTCTGTGACTTAATGACAATATTTAAAGTACTGAATTACGCACTGTTTGAAGGATTGCCTTAAGTGATTCTCCTCGTTTTCCATGTTGCCTCTCATATCTTAGAGCGTAGACAGTACTTGTTTTTTCCGTGATTAACTATTATTTTTGAAAGCTAAACTGCATTTCTAAAATGTGTAGCTCTTGAGTGTTTCCAGTTTCACCCTGAGTTCCAAAGTCAGCGGTGTAATGAGCTCACCAGCAGCTCCTTGAGGTGGCTGCTCAGGTGGCTCTTGCCTCCCGTTCCGTGTTCCAAATATCAGTGTGCAGAGAACTGCAGCTGGTGGGTTTGGGGTTTTTCGTTTGTTTGTTTTCTAGGGTTGCATCTCTCTTCCTGAAGAGGTTGCTTGTAGGTGACCTGGCGCTGCCGTTTACATTTTAGTGGAGTTTCTGGTGGTCTGCTAATTTTAGGTTTCGCTGGTAGGGTTTAATCAAAGTTCTGTAGCAATATGATTTAGTGGAGCCAGAGTCGCTTTGACAGACCGGCTCCGTGCTTTAGTTCTGTTACTTTCCCAACCACCTATAAATTACATGCTTTACACCTTATTGATTGGTGGTTTAGCTTAATACAGTAATACTGGAAATTATGCGCCTGTGCTTTGTGAAAGCCATCGTAGAGCGGAGAGGTGTGCGTGAGAGACCTGAGAATTCTCTGAAGAGTTCATTTTTTACAAGGTAACTGTGGATAACGGGTTTTATGAAGCTGGAACTTGGGCAGGTGCGTTTTGCGCGGCCTTAAGGGCGGTTAGTCTGCTGGGAGCCCTCGGAGTGCAACTGCTGTGTCGCCACGAGGTGTTTCATGGCCTTAGCAGCAGTGACGTGCAGGCTTGTTCGCAAGTGGAACAGGCAGGAGAATGCAAAAGGAACATTTTGAAACTGTACTTGTTGGACTCCATCGGTGTCTTTGCTTTGTCTGTGGATGTTGCTGCCATAATTCAGATCAGAGGCCTTGGATCGTTTTTCTGTGAAGTGGGGAGCGCTGTAGAAATACTTGGTTCTGAAACACCCTTTTGCTGATCCAGCTTCATTAATCCTCTGGGGTTCTGTGAAGACCTTTTTCTTCTCTGTTTTCCTTTGAAAGTCCTCCACGCTGCTGTGGAGGGGGAGATGATTTGAGAATTAAGAAGAATCGAAACTGGTGAGTTTTTTTCTTCAGGGCATCAAGTACTTAGTTATTCTTTGGAGTGTTTTGTGATCATTTTGATAGGAAGATATGAAACGAGAGTCAAGTAGAAGCAGTGAGCAATATTGAATGACATTCTTGGGAATAAACATGAAGTGGGAATGCTGAAAACAAGCTGGCTTCGTGCTTGAATCATCTTTTTTTGTAGGTGCACCGCGACTATCCTCCGATTTGTTTTTTCACAAATGTTTTCATTAACTAGTCAAAAAAATAGAGCTTTCTCTCCCCCCCTTTTTTTTTTTCCCCCCCATTTCTGCATGTGCTTTTATAACAAGAGAAAGAAATCCCATCCATTGAGTTGACAGCCTTACGGAAGGATGGGCGGTGGGGCGGGGAACGCAACTGGACGGTGGCATTCCGGTGCTCATCTTCTCTCTCTTCTTCCCGTTCGCAGGCTCTGTCATCCGTGATGGCGTCAGCTCTGCCCAGGACCCTTGGGGAATTGCAGCTGTATCGGATACTGCAAAAAGCCAACCTCTTGTTCTACTTTGATGCCTTCATCCAGCAGGGTGGCGACGATGTCCAGCAGCTCTGTGAAGCAGGCGAAGAGGAGTTTCTGGAGATAATGGCTCTCGTAGGCATGGCCAGCAAACCGCTTCATGTCCGGAGGCTGCAGAAGGCTTTGAGGGACTGGGTCACAAATCCAGGCCTTTTTAACCAGCCTCTCACCTCCTTGCCCGTCAGCAGCATTCCCATCTACAAGTTGCCGGAAGGCTCTCCCGCGTGGCTGGGGATATCCTGCAGCAGTTACGAACGGACCAGCGGCACCAGAGAGCCTCACCTGAAGATGCCCAAGTGTGCAGCCACGACATGTGTGCAGAGCGTGGGCGCCGGCAAATCCGACGTGGTGGGGAGCTTGTCGCTGCAGAGCGGCCGGGGGGCCGAGAGCCAGGGGGCCGATACTCTGGCAAGGGCACCACACCACAGAGAGCGAGCACAGTCTTTCCCCGGCCGACCTCGGCTCTCCAGCTTCACCAAAGGAAAACAGCGAGACCTTAGATGCCGCTGCGGCACTGTCAGTCGCCGAATGCGTGGAGCGTATGGTTCCCTCCCTGCCCAAAAGCGACTCCAGTGAAGTCAAGGAGTTACTGAAAACAAATAAGAAACTGGCAAAGATGATCGGTCACATCTTTGAGATGAGTGACGAGGACCCTCACAAAGAGGAGGAGATCAGGAAGTACAGTGCAATATATGGGAGGTTTGACTCAAAGAGGAAGGACGGCAAGCATCTCACCCTCCACGAGGTAACGCGCCTTGAGCGACGGGTGGGCTTCTTCCTCCCCTATTCCTTCACCCTTTACAAGATGCTGTTGCTCGCAGGGTGCAGTTTTTGTCCGGGCGTTTCTCGCTGGGTGATGAGAGCTGTGTGTCTTGCAGGAGCCGTAGGCAGTCTTGCCCTGGGACACAAATCTCGCTTGCAGTCAAAGTGCCCTTTTTTAGGTGGGTGTGTGTGCACGCCTGCACCGAGGACTTCAGTTTGGGGTCATCAGACTGCTCGGTCGCTGCTCCGGCCCGTCAGGCAGAGGGTTTAAACGGTTTGGCACTGAAATGGCAAAGCAGCATGGGAGTGAGCATGGCCCTGGAGGTTCTAAGCGTTTGGCACGGTTTTGAAGCGGTGCTGTCTCAGTATTCCCTTGCAGCTTTGAGAAGATCAGTTACTAAAATCGCTAGTGTCCAGTAGCAGGATCACCTGGCTGGGTTACTACCCTCTGCTGTCTTCCCTCACGCCGAGGCCCTGCTCTCTGTAGCTTGTGCCCTCAAGGTAAAAAAGGATTTTGCTGCTGAGGTCCCAGTGGGATGGGATTTTTTGTGTTGGAATTGGGATGAAGCTTAATTATTCAGCCTGTGAGTTTTGGTGGTTTTTTGTTTTGTTTTGGTTTTTTGGCACGGTGGTCTTGAGCCTGACAAGTGAAGTGCAGACTGTGTGAGGAGGAGGGGAAAGGGCTGTCTGCGGCGTTGGTGTACTGTAACTGGAAGGTTTGTCCTTTAATACCTGCATAGCATCTGTCCCCTCCTGTCCTTGGAAGTCCCCGCGAGCCTCCTTCGCTTCTCTCCTGGCCTTCGCGAGGCTCGCGCTGCACTCGTCGTGTCGCAGGAGGTACGTCTGTGTGGGGAAGAGTTCCCCGGTGCCAGAGTACCGTCCAAGAGGAGAACAAACATTAATTTTGAGCGGTGCCAAAACGCTGTTGATGCGATTGCTGCATCAGCATTTTCACGGTTAACAGCGATTGCAAAATTTCAGTTGGATTTAAAATTTGGCATGTGAGGCTTAGCTCCCAAAAGGAAAGGCAGTGTTTATGTTACAGGAGTGCCAAAAAAACTGTACTGGCTTTAGCCTTTTTTTTCGCTTCAAGAAGTTTTGTAGGTGTGTGATCCGCAGCGTAAAGACTAGGTTCTCTCTCTGCTTCTGAGTAGAAGGGCAGAAGGAAACAGGGCGTATTTCTTTACATTTTTGTTTGTGTATTTACATTTATAAGACAACTGCACACCACCAGCAGCGACTTCAGAAGGGCTTTTAACGCAGGCTGGGGAGACGCTTCCAAGGGAACTCGTCAGCTGTATTTTCTACCACGCAGTTGTAGTTGTGCAGCTTTTGCTTACGTGCTTTGTGGCAAACCCATATCATCTGTGAATTCATCCAGTGTGTGAGAACAGATCTGCTCTTACTGCCCCCCGACCTGGCGGAAGCCTCTCCCGCAGCAGAACCAGCCGTGTTACGAGACGGAGGCAGGGTTTGAAAGGGATTAATTGTCTGACTGCCCGGCTGCAGCATCGGGATTCGGAGAAAGGGAGTTCTCCCCACTCGAGGATGGAGGCAGCTGAGGTGTGAGGCGGGTCCAGCCAGGCGCTTTTCGTGGCCTCTCGCTGCAGAAGACACTCTGAAATCTGGGCAGGATTCTTAGGGGATGATTTCCTGGCATCCAGCACTGTTGTGGGAGGAGGGCGCCGGGGGCAGCTTTTCGTGGCAGGTTCAGGAGTTGCCCTTACGAAGGCACCCGTCATGGGGTGGTAGTTTGGAGGAGCAGGGTAGCAGAGAGCTGGAAGAGAGGACAACTGCTCTGCCTTGTTAATTTTTATTATTTTCTTTTTTTTCCCCCCTACTGCACTGCAAATCTTTACTACATCATTGTAAAGCCATGTTTCAAAATGGAATGAGAGCATGGTTTGGCTGTAGGAAATATTTCTATCGCTCTTATGATTAAGGGCGCGAGATCAAAGGAGTGTGTGGTTGACTTATGCCTCAGTTACGCATGTGGGGCCTCGCTGAACTTGATGGGAACTGCACACATGCAGGCAAGAAGAATTTGCTCATAACTGGTTTACTGTTTGCTCAAAGAGGCCGGATTTCACAAAGTTCCGTCTTGAGCAGTTTTCTCTCTGTTTCCATTTCAAAGCAGAGAATATACGAATAGCAGCAGCGAGACCATTCTCTGGCTTAAAATCTGCTAAACCAGAGTTTGCCTTTTGTAAACTCGTCTTGAATGGGTTTTTGGTTTTTGATGGCTTAAACAATTTGCTGCTCAGAAGGAAGGACCTAAAACAACCAGGGAGGTAAGTTCCTGCTTGTCCAGACGCTGCCTTTCTGCACGTGTTTGTACATTCCAAGGCTGTCATTCTGCCTCGCAGTTCAAGGTTTCTGCTTGCAGCTGGCAGTGGACAGCTGAATAAACTTCACTATGAAATTCAAAAAGCTGAAGTAGCGGTTGGCTTCTCACTGTAAGGGTCAGGGGAGCGTACCTCTGGCTTCTCAGAGCTGCATGCAAATTAAAATCAGAGCTGTAGACTGTGAGCTGGTTTGGGAGTGCGTGCTGCTGGTAGGATTATCTGTGTAAGGCACTGACCCAGCATAAAATCTGATGCAGAATCTTTCAGAGACGTTCCAAAACTAATAAACATACTGCCCTTAATCCATCCTGCTGTCTCGGTGTTACGCGGCTTTGCAAGCACTGGGGAGCGCTTGATGTTTGAAGTGGGACTGGAGGAGGGATGAGGATGAACTTGGTCACCCTTGAACTTGGTCACCCGTGTGCTTTTTGAGTCAGATCTGTAATTGGAGTGTTAATGTTGTCTAGGTATCTGGTAAAACCAGAAAAAAAAAAAAAGAAAAAAAAAGAAAAATTCCTGTTTAATATTGTGAGGAACAGGAATAACAAATGAAAGTAATAAATCTTGTCTAGCTCGGCCTCTTCCTCTTTCTTTCGCTGACTCACCAGGACAGTAGGGCTTCGTATGCCATCGTGTGTGTGTTAGTGGGGGAATCCATGCACCCCGTCAGACGGGGATATCCCCATCCCTCTCCCTAGAGCCTGCATGGTTATGTGCTGCTCCCTATCAGTAAGGCTTCCAGCACCCTGAATCTTTATTTTTAGGCATGCAACGCTTCCTGTCTGCAGCATTGTGCCTCCTGGAAAGGCAGGAAGCCATGATGCGCTTCGATTCAGTAAGTCTGCATGTGACCTGAAGGAAGAAACCAGGAAAAACAAACAAACAAACGTTTGGCTTTTCTCCTGTAGTAGGATAAACAGCGTTTGCCTGCAACTACCCAAAGCTTCTTCAGTCATTTCAGCCTTTCCACGCTTTATTGAGGGAGAACAAACATCTCGAGTTACTTTGTCAGCATTAGCTGTATTATTCATATTATTCAGCAAAGTAATAGCTATCGCTGTTACAGAAATTAATGCCTGCTTTGGATGGTATCAACGTTTTATTTTTGTGTCTTATTTTCTCCCCTCACTGTTTTTTTTTTCTGAAAAGATAGACATTGTAGAACAACTGTTCCTGTCTAAGGGATAACAGTTTGTTGGTTTAGTACGTTTTATTGTTAGAGCGTAGTAACCTAGAGATGTTCTACAGATTAAACCTAAACTTCCCGTCCTTGTATGTTTGATCTCTCTGAGGTTTTTTTTAATTTTTGGGTTTGGGTTTTGGGGTTTTTTTGTCTGCACAGAGACTGAAGGATCGGGCATCCTATCAAGTTCGCCTGTTAAAGGTGTGTTTGCGCTCCGATTAGCAGTCAAGTATCTCAGGAAATGCCCTACTTGGATCAAAGAGAAAAAATGCTTGTGAAATATTAGGAAGCGGAGTTCTACGTGAGGTTTTACTAGAAATGCTTCACGGGCCACTGAGAGAATCTGCTCTTACGATACATGGTTTTGTTTACTCTGCCTCCCTGGAGGACAAGCATCGCGTTAGGGCAAAATACATATATGTATATGAGGGTTATCATGGATTACACTGTGAGCAACCTGGCTGCCTGGCTGAATTCGCTACCCAGAGACAGATGGGGAACACGCTGCTGACAGTAGCAGCAAGGCAGCTCGTGCTTGTTTGCGAGAAGCCGGTTCAAAGCAGCTTAATTCCTAGAAGTAGGGTAGAAGAGTTGTGGGTGCTTTGGGGAAAAACCACTTGTATCCTTCTGTCAGCCTTTCGCCTCGGTGCGAGTGCCGGGGCTTCTTCAGCTGAAGCAAAAAATGTCTCGCCAGCCTCTGCTTGCTGAGGAAGGAGCAAGGAACCTCCTCGCCAGCATCTCGGTTTCAGCGTCTCGTTGCGTTAATCATTTTGGTGTTTGTCCTCACTGTTGACCATAGGCTTCGGAAGAGTGTTGTGAAACCGTTCCGAGCCTTAGCTTAAGGCTTCCCTCTCCCTTAATGAAGCTATTGCCAGCGGCAAGAGGCGCTAGAAATGTGTCCCAGCAGGCTCAGGAAAACATCCTCGAAACAAGTTACATTTGATTCATGTCTGAAGATAGTCTTCACAAACACGAGGGTGAGAAACATAGCTAAAAAAAAAAAGTTTAATCGTTTCTTCAGCCATCACCTTCTACAGAATTTATGCTGTATTCACCAGGGAAAGCCATCTGTACCCACACTGTCAGGCTTTTTTTTTTTTCTTTTTTTTCCCCTTCCCCGAGTCCTGGGCATATTGCGTTTATAAAAATAGTATTCCCTGTAAACCAGGCTTTGGGAGCCAAACACTGTGAACGTTCAGAGCTACTGTTATACCGAGATTTAATTAATGCTGCGCGCAAGCAGTGCACGTTGAGAGAGTCTCACAGCACCATTTCGCTTTAAAGGCTATTAAATGCACCAACTACGTTTGTATCTTTTCTCTTCCCAGAGGCTTACCTGGCTTCCTAAGGGTATAAATAAACTGAAAAAACCCTCCGGGGTTTAGTATACAATTGCAGATAATTTTACTTGCAGTCGAAATTTTAAGAAAAAAAAAGGGTACTACTACGAGCGCGATGGGTGAAAGCATGCAAAATCGTGAATCCCTGTTTTGTTTTGTTTTTTTGTGTTTAATTTCCAGCTAACAGTTAATGAAGCAGCCGCTCAGCTGTGTGTAAAAGATAACGCGTTGTTGACCAGGAGAGATGAACTCTTCGCGCTAGCTCGGCAAATCTCTCGAGAAGTTACATACAAGTATACTTACAGGACCACCAAGTAAGGTTTTAATTAACTCGAAGGACCTTTACTTTCAGGGCACCTAATCAGTCTGCCAGCATTTCTTTTGAAGCACTAGAGACACTTTCTTGCTCTTCAGCTAGCAAAGTGCTCTTCCAAACCCTAACATTCTGCGATTCTGAGGAGGGTAGGGAAATGCTATTTAAGTTGTGAAGCTTTCAAACTGCTGAGATTTAACTGTCTTGAATTACCTTTTTATTTGCTCTCTAGTTTTCCACATTTTGTGATGATAGTGCATGTTGGGAGGCATCTGAAAGGCTGGCGTTTCAACTGCTTGAGACATTTGCGTGTTTCAAGGTTAATGTCTATAGGCAGAGTAGCCAAAGCTGCATGAGGCATCAGTTTGGTGTGGTGTTTTTCTTCTTTTTTTTTTTTTTTTCTTTTTCCCCCATGTACAGATTGGGCTTGCTAGCTTCCAGGGAATAAAAAAAGATCAGGTCATAGGGAGTGGCTTACATCCTCGCTTTAAAGGAACTGAAGCCGAGTCCTGACTTCAGGCGTTACTGTTCTGCTAAAGGAACTGCTGTTAGGGGAACAGTGACAGCAGCTTCTAAATACATTTAAAACTTAGGAATTAATAAACGTGGTTGAAATTCTTGATGCTTTCTGTAGATTATTTTTCGGTGTGCACTCCCTTGTATGTAATGCAATATGCTTTCAGAATACATTTTTCTACATTTCAAGGAGCTTTTTATGGTTTTCCTTCACTCCCTTCTCTGCCACAGTGACTAACGTAGATACACATCCATTCTGGGTAAGCAGTACTGAAGGCATTTCTGTAGTTCTCATGCTCAGGTAGCTTTCCTTTCTGTTGGGAAAAAGAGTGCGTGAGTCTCTTGACACTTCTGAAAATAACACAAGGCGCCTGTATTCCTCTAAATATAAGTGACATTCGCTGCAATGTCCAAGTGAATTGGAGGCTTTTTTTGTGCATCTCACTTGTTCTTGCCTGATTTTTCTTTTTTTTTTCCTTGACTGTGGGGTTTTTTTAAATTATTTCTGGTGGTCAGGGTTAATGTGCTGCTTACTCATAGCGTACGTGTTTTCTCTTCTAGGTCTAAATGCGGAGAACGGGATGAGCTGTCACCAAAGAGAATCAAGATAGAGGTACGGTGTCGTGACTCCTGTATCCTGACCTGCGTGTGCTAAAAATTGCTTTCGTTACGAAGTGGGGGTCTATCTTGACATTTGTCAGAAAACCATTAGACAGACACTTGATGGGTGTGTGAGAGAGAGAGGGGAGAGCATCACCACCATCTCTGCAAATGCAAACGTTTGACAGAGAAACCTGTAGGAGCAGGGATGAAGAGTAGGATTTGCCTACCAGTGAAGTTACTCGCGATGTGTAGGTGAGTAGGAGGGGGAGGAGTGGGGCTGACCGACTTCCTGGGCTGGAAGAAGCTTGAGTGCTGTAGGAAATGTCTGCCCGTAAGGCCTCCTGCTTTTCAGTCAGCGTGACGTGGGGTTTGCTCAAGTCGCTTGAGTCAGCTTCTGATCGCGGCCGGGACGCAGGGTTCTGGAGCAGGACCGATGGCGGCACACTCCGACTCCAGCTAGGCTATGAATTATAAAACTGATCATCTTGGCAAGACCAAAAGCTGTGTATGTCAGCACAACTGGTCGTACCCATAGGTATTAATCTACATTTATTTTATTTTTTTTTTGTAAAAAGCAAGTGCGTATACAGCCAGGGAACATGCACCTGCACAGGGAGATGCTGGGAGTTTCTTGTTAGGAGTACAGGAACAACAGAGATGTAGTTTAGCTTTTTCTTTAGTTACCACTGCTGGAAAGTAAATTTGAGGCCTTTTTATTTAAAAATAAAAAAAAAATGTTGTAAGTGTGTCTGCCTGTATACTTCATAAGGATAACAGATTTTCCTTTTTAATTTTTTTTTAAAACAAATTACTGTTTCACTGTTTTGTGGGTATCTAATCCTCAGTCATGGGTTTGTTTGTTTTTTTTTAATTGTACTGTCTACTTCAGAAGGCTTATCTTTAAATGTGCTTTAGAAGGTAAGCTAGGCCTAAGCTAGATTTGTATTAACTGATTCTTTATTTTTATTCTATAATGGGATGCTTTATTACCGGTACAGAGGCTTTTCCTGTGAGGCAAACCCCAGGGAGAACAACTTTGAAAAGGCAGTAATGAATTAGGTGTAAAGGACTTAGTATTTTTTATTTATGTATCAAGTTCCGTATGTCCTGCGTGCAGTTGTAATTTGAGTTTATATGATACAGAATGTACGTGTGCACTGAAGATTTGCAGGTAGCTTTGGTGCTTGATGGCATTTACATGGCTTGGGATTTGCTTTGACCTGTTCTCCCATCCACAACCAAGAGCAGGGAAAAGCTGCATTAAATGGTTTTATCCACTTTTCTCCCCTCTTTTGTCCTGTCTAATTTTAATTTATAAGAGCTGCCGGGGAACTGCCACTCCTCTGCTTGGAATAGTATTTCCCCGGTGATTAGATTTCAGCATTAGGAAGTTTTTCCTTCATTCAGTAATAATTGATGATGAGCAAGTGTCTACAATGACACACGCTGCAAGGGAGGTACTTTTCATCCACAGGGTTTTCATTGAAAGAAAAAGTAAAATTAAAAGCCTGAAGAATACAGGCTGAAACATTGGGGTTTTTTGGAGAGCATTAGGGGATGTGCATTCTTAGAATTTCTCCACAGTAAAACCTTAAGAGTCTGGAAGGCCTGCTTTTTCTACACACTTGTTTAGGTCAGTAATTCTGAGAAAGGATGTTTACTTGGTTTTCTTTTTGTCTAAAATTAACAGTCATATTTTAAAATACTTGTGAAAATTTCATGTTTGGAAATCGGACGTTTTTTTTTCCCCAAATAAGAAATTGAAAATTAAACTAAACTTAATAATCTTTTAAGTTTACAGCATAGCACTATTAATTACGAAATGACCAGCGTTGTTATCAGCATGAATGTCTTTTTTTTCCATACAAATTTGGGAGTCTTTTAAGGAGTAAACCATTACTTTGGTGCGTTATAATTCTGAGATACACTGTAAGTCATGGACTTTTCTTCAAAGAAGTTAAAAAAGATGCAGTATTACGTAGTAGATCACTTTTACGTATGGTGGGTTAGGTTCTTGGGGCTTGCGTTTTACAACACCACCAAAAAAGCCTTTTTGTCAGTAATAAGGGATTTTGTTGGGGTTTTTCCTGTTTGTATTTAGAGAGGTGGAGGTAAATATTAAAAAGGTAGCATGTGCTGCTGGGTTTTCTGTCTATTCTGGCTAATTCCTTATTCTGTTCTTTAAGATGTCATATTTCATCATGGCTCTCTTAGTTCATCATCATGCTAAGCTACAGAGCGTCTGATCCTGGATGATTTTGCAGTTGTAACTAGTTCTGTCTTTTTCTTTCTGTCTTTCTGGTCATTTTGCCTTTCTCTTTGAAAGCTGAGTGTGTTTCGATTCACCGTTCCTTTACCCATTAGTCACTAATGTCTCCACGAAACATGGTCTAAAATACTAGTGTTTGGATTTGGAAAGACTTCACGCCCTGTTTGCATAGTGTAAAAGATTACTTAAACAAAAAAAAAGAAGCGATGAGTTAATTTCCTGAAATATAATAAGAGAAAAACCTCTGGAGAGACTCTGAAGGTCATCCATAAGCAGAACTAGCAGAGCTGTGCGTGCACGCTGCGACATTGCCGGGTTACCTTTGCAAATTTATCCTCTGTGAATATGAAACTCGCACAAGCATTACAAAGAAACAATATGCCACGAATTACATCAAATTACCTGTAAAAGCCTTTCTCTTCCCCTGCGAGCTCTCCCCCTCTTGTTCATAGAGTGAGTGGGCGAGCTGTGGGAGTGAAGCGTAGGGAGAGGAGAAGGGAAAAAAAAAAAAAAAAAAAAAAAAAAAATTCAGGCAAATGACAGATGAAAGGTGTGGAGGGAGTGAAAAAGGGAATGGAGTGAACTGGGATTTGGAAGCGGAGTATAAAAAAAACAAAGGGGGGCATTGTAATTCCTAAATCTGGAAGGGGTGGATGGAGATGGAAATAGCACGTCCTCGCGCAGAGCAGGGATCTCTCCTGCATGGGTGATGCCGGCGGCGGGGGGGCAGCTCTTACTTTGTCATCCTCCGTGACTCAGTGCTGGCACCGCTGTTGTGGCACCAGTTTTTAATAAAAGCAAAACAAGTCCCAGGTATTTTGCACAGAAATTGCAGAAGAGGCTGCTCGCGGCTGCTGCTTCGTGTTGGGGCTGACGAGGTTCCCCTTTGGAGTCGGTGCAGACAGAAAGAGAGTTTTAAAAATGCAGAGGAATTCTTGCTGCGTCCACATTCGGCTGAAAGAAGGGGGTGGGGAGAGCTTGCCAGAAGCGAATTTCGCGAAGCGGGGTGGGAGCTGGGGAGGGGGCACGGGCAGGGGCACCTGAGCGCGGGCTGCCAGCACCATCTCCCTGCGGTGCGGGCGGAGGAGAGGGGAGACAAGGCCCCACCTCCGCCAGAGAAGGTGGAAAAGAAAACCCATCCAAGTGTGGGATTTGTGTTTTTTCGCAAAATGTCATTAGAGGGAGCAAAAAAGCACATGTGGGACTGAGAACATCTGCTGCACGAAGCCGCCTGAAAAACAACCGAGCGGCAGCATGGCGGGAAAACGCCCGTCTGGGGGGAAGGGACCCTCCGGGCCTCCTCCTGCCCCCGTGCCAGCGAGGAGGACACTGGCCAGAGCCGGGGCAGGGCTTTGGGACACCCGTACGAGTGGCAGGTGTTGGGGATGGTGACGGGCTGGGAAGCCGCCCTTGGCTTTGCACTGGGAAGTGATCGCAGATACGTCACAAGAGTCGTGTTTAACCCATTTTGCTGCAAAAATAGGCTCCTGAGTGATGGGGGTTTGTGTAGCCGGTTTCTCGCCCGCCTACACGCGATCCTTTTCCCCTCCCAGACAAATTCGGGTGATGAAAATGGCCAGCGCTCGTGGAAATGCACTGCAAAGCTTTTGTTTCAGATTTTTTTTTTGTTTTCAGATTTTTGTTTCAGGTTTTGTGGCAATTTACCTGCTTGTGAAGCTTTGCATACCTGTCCCGTTTGTTTTCTCCTCGAGGGAGTATGTCGGGTGGATAAAAGCAACGCGCAGCGTTCAGACAGATTTTTTTTTTTGTATTAATTTTTTTTTTTTTCCCCTGAGCATAAAGAGCAGCTTTATCGGCATTAGGTTGCTCTGAGGGTCTGGCCGCCTGAGGTGGGTCTGGCTGCCTGCCATGGACTCTCTAGTGGTTTTTCTCTGAAAGATCGCTTTTCTGGTTCTTGGGCTGTAAGCCGTTAGTCCAGCTGCTGTCAAAAATGTTATTTACATGCCTGTGCCTCTAGAATCTTGATACCTGGGTCTGCGGATCCTCAGTGACAAATGTCACAGTTTTCAATGTAATGTGCTTCTGCAAACATTTCTGGACGTTCCTCTGGTTTACGTGAGCTCTCCTGTTATAGTGCCGAGCAGGATAGATTTCTCATCTTGAACCTTTGCTTCGATGATTAATTTGTTTTAATGAAGTCTGGCAGGCTTTCACAGGAACTTTATTTGCTTTATTGGTACATATGCAAGCTGCAAAAGAGATTTGCATGTCAGGCATTTGAAACTCAAAAGAATTACTGAATAATGATTTCCCATAGTATATAAAGTCTTTGCTACCCTATTTTAAACTGGTGATACTTCATTTTGTGGTACTAGTATAGGTTCTGTGTGAAATACATCTCAAGGTTCGTATATCCAGCATTAATCTCGTCTACATATAAATGTGATTTCTTAAGAATCTCCAAAGCTGCTGTATGTGATGTGTGACAGAAGCCACGTACCTGAATCTGCCTGGCGAGGCTGAATGTAAAATAGTTTAATGTCAGTGACAACACTAGTGTGGATTCACCTGCACCTGTGAGAGATGAGAGGTGGTTGTCTGCATATGCCACTTGAGATAGAGAGCAGTTGTTACAGAGGGGCTATTTATGCATAAATGTAAAGGAAGTGAGTAGCACAAACGTAAATTGCAGGCCAGAATTTTCACAGAAGTTCAGGAGTGTGGGGATTTGCTGGCTTGTTGTTTGGTTGTGGGTTGTTTTTTTTTTTTCCCTGAGTATACAGAGAGAGTAAAGAAAAATCAATAACATGTCCTTCTTGGTGTTCGGTTTCTTCTTGTGCTTGACAGGATGGTTATCCTGATTTCCAGGACACAGTGCAGACGCTCTATCAGCAGGACAAAATGCCACTTGCTTTGGCTAAAGGAAAGAGCGAAGACTCGACGGCTCTTAATTCCCAGGTAAACCAACTACAGTACAGCATGACTAACCCAGGCCACGTCTTTGTACATTGATTTTGATGTATTGTTTGGATGACTCAATTAATTACCGTCACTTTTCAAAGGCTACCTAGCTTGGCTGTGATTGCATCACGCTTCATTTGGGTTTCCCTTCTGAAACTGTTTTGACACGGTGCTGTAGCTTTACCCTCGTTCATTCCGAGGAGGTGAGATGTGGCGTAGTAGGCTTGGAAATACGTGACTGCCTGTCGGGAGCAAGTAGGGGGTACTAGTGGTACAGTATGTGCTGTGTTACTTGCGTTATTAGCTATAAACGGAAAGTTCAAGTTACTGAGGAATAGAGTAGGCGATCTTGGAGCCCTTTCTTTTAAGAAGCAGGGCCGATATATTTAGGAAATAGTACACCTCTGGATCCGAGAGCATAAACTGCCTTTCTAAATAACATCCAGCCTGGTTGGCAGTGCAGTGATTTTGCTTATCCAGAAAGCTTTTTGTAGATGAAGACGGGTTTCCGATTCTGTCTTTGTCTTTTCTGTAGTGTATCCCAGCCTTGAGGCAAAACATGCATCTCCTACTGCCAGTTGTTGCCAAGGAGGGATTGCACGCTAAATTGCAACAAATTTATTTTGTGTTTGGGCAAACGTAATCACCGAATTTTCACGTAAGATTATGTTTAGGAATTACACTCCAGTTTTCTGAGACTAGATGTGTTATCCTGTCTTTTCCTTCTTCTGTGGCAGCATGCAGTCATGCAAATCTGTTCACTGTGATACATCGAAAAGCAATTACGCTGTGTGCTCTGGTGTCACATAATGATGAAGTGAACTTGATTTTTGCAAGCTTATTTTCATCTCATGTATGCTTCAAGTTTTCATTGATCAGTGCTACGTAACAACGAACTGAAGATTTATTTTTAGCTTAAAAGTACTGGCAATGCTGCAGGTTTCTCTGTGGTGATCAGAAGCATCGTTGCAGTTTCAAATTCTGGGCTTATACCCCAATTAAACAACAAATTAATTTACAGTTCAAAAGTTGTAACAAGAGTGACAGAAAAGCAGAGTTAAAGTGCACTCAGAAGTAAACTGTTTAGTTTCTTTTTTTACCTACCTCCCAAGACTAAGCCTGAGCTATCAGTGTTCTCTTGCGGAACCTGATGAGCTCTAAGCCAGAGTAAGTACCTGCCGGTCAGGTCGTTACGCTGCTGTCGGGGTCATCGCCGCGCTGGAGAAGCTCAGCTTTTGCGTGTCTGTTACGTCGTCGTCGTCGGATTTGTAAATGGTTGAGCTGTGCTGAGTAGGCAGCCTTTCCTAGCAAGTCAGGGCTTTCATCATCTCCCAAGAGAAGTTAAGCGCTCTGCAATTAAGAGGCCTCCGTACCAGTCAAAACAATTACGGCGTCACCTGAAAGAGAAGTGAATTTTTTCCTATTGATCGTAGATGTTACGTTTGTACGCTTTCTGTTCTTACGCTCCTCATGGCTCTCCTAAATCAATTTTCTCGACTTGTGATTTTCTTTTCTTTTTTTTTTTTTTTGCAACATGCATATTTACATTCTGGAGCACAAGATTATATTGAAAATTAGAGTTCTCTTGGCATTAAAGTCAATGACAAACATTCAGACGCCATTCCCTCCCACACTGCGCTGCATTGTTTAGTTTCACTCTCTAGAGGTGTATAGGTCTTGTTCTTCTTCTAGACAGACATTTCACACCTTTATCCCCCACAAACATACTGTCATCCTACACTTTCAGAATGGCAGATTTTTAAGCTTGTGTAGTGCTGTTTCCTAAAATATTCTAAGATGTCTGGTGAAATCTTGGCATAAGTCTTTAGCAGATGTTGCCGTTGCTCTTGGAATACTTTTTGGAATACTTTGTGAAGATACACAGTTGAACAGAGCTAGGTGGGTAATGAAGACGTTATTTTTTGCTTTTCCCAAAATTCTCTTCACCGCGACCTGCGGTCCTAAACCGCAAGAAGCGATTTTTGTGTGTTTTGTGAAGAACAGAATTTATCGTTGCATTAAAAAAAACTACGGCAGCTTGCATTTTAAGTACTCTTGAGTGACTCAGATGTACAGTATGGAAATCTTTATGGGTGCAAAAATATTTTGTTTGCTTGATCATTTTGAAGAAACTGTAAAGCACACATCTGTACATATGAGTCAACAAAAACCCCTAGCTAGGCTGTTACTCTTACCATCCGATAGTTTTTTTCCCCATGTTTTGACTCACTATTTGCATGTACATATATAGAAAAAATTTATTTATTTTTTCTTCTTTTGTTTGCAGTCGGAAAAGGTGATGGCAAAACAGATGGAGTTTCTTTGCAACCAGGCGGCATTAGAGAGGCGTCTTTCCGCGGGGGGTTACCGGCAAAACTCCGAAGAGCACAGCCCCAACGGCATGTCGTTAGATAACGCTGACGGACAAGGTACGGTACCTTCCAGGCATGGCGTTCCCGCCAGCAAAGCCGTTTGCTGTGTCGCAACCTTTCGGTGGCAGCGTTCCTTATCTGGTGTAGAACACCGAGCCCTGAATGGACAAGACAAGATCTCTGCCCTGAAGTGCTCGCGGTTGAAATCGGATTCTGCTCGGTTGATCTGTCTGGGGGAGCGGCTTTC